GCTTGTGCATCCCAGAGATACCAGTCCAACTGCCTGAAACTCTCCACTTTTGGGGGGACCCAAAATATCTGTCTTCCTTGTCCTCCATTCCAAGAGATGCAGTCAGACAAACATGGCCCATTGGTTATGTTCAGTAACTGATTGGAGGTAGGAAGTGTTGGGAAGGGAGAGAGGAAAAGGAGGGGGAAGTAAGGGAAAAGAGAAACACTCAACTATTGATCAGAAATTCAAGCAGATTCTCCCAAACCTAGCACAGATGAAATCATATCCTAACCCAAGTAATAGAGCAAAAAAAAATGTGACCTACTTCAGGGTCTACTTGAAAGCCCAAAGTTTAGCACAGCACCAAATTTGAAGGAATAGAAAAGGAAAGTAGAATAAGCCTTATGCCCTAAGTCATGTTCATATTTCATCCTTGCCAATGAGAGTTTGGTCTAATTCTTTTTATTTTTGGGCCCTGAGCCATAAAATGGGGATCAAAAATACCTTATTGACTTCATGGTGGTTTTTTGTGAGAGTCAAGTAAGATCATCTTTGTGTAATTTCTTGATGACCTTAAATCATTTCAGAAAGATAAATTTTTATTTTTGTCATAATAGCAAAGATATGAGTCCATTTTGGCCCAATCCATTTCAGCGAAGTGTAATCAAACACTAGGGAAAATCTTTAGCCAGAGATAAATCTCAGATGCCCTAATAGGAAGCCTAGTAAAGACAGAGGGGTTATCACCCTAATGCCAGATAAAAAGTACTGGGCTATGGTAAGGCCCTTTTCATACAAATTGTAGATGACATCTATGATTCTACAGACCTCTGAAAGATACTGTATGCTGAGGATATCCCTCAGGGCACAAAGTCACAGGGTCAAGGAGTGGGTAAGGACAGCGGAGGTGATGGAAGGATTTCCTACCCAAATAACAGCTGATGGGTTGGCTGAAACCATTTCCTATAATCTGAAGCTCGTCAAAAACACAGCTTTAAGAAGATGGGCTGGAATTCTTAGGGAGATTGACAGGAAGAAATATGTGAGGACACAGGCAGAGATTCTATGGTATTTGGAGTATAGTCTATTAATTTACCAAGATATCTGTTGTCCCTTTTATACTCATTATTTTATGATGTATGAAAGATCACTGCAATGTATATGCACTTTCTTCAGTTTTTTTTAATTCAGCAGGAGTTTTCTCTTTGACTCACACATCACTTCCTACTGTCTGCTAACTCTTCTTCTAATGTAATTTTGATTGATTTTATCATCTCTTATGAACCTTGTTTACTTGGCACTTTTTTCCTTCTCACTTTCTGCTTCTGATAGGGGTAGGACCAGATGATCTGAAATTCTGACATTATTCCTGATTCTATTATATTCCTCTCTCCCACTCTCATTCCTTTCTACCTTCTATTCCTGTCCCCATTGTTTTGAATTCTCAGACTTTTACTGAGGATACTAGCACAAAAATCAATTTATGAAAAGTAATCAGTATTTCTTGAGTTTTTCTATGAGGAACTATTCCTATCCAGGAAGTGTTTGCTACCAGGTTGTTTAGTGGTATACAGTGCAACCCTACTGTGAACTAGAGACTTTGATCAATTGGCAGTTAGTTGCTGCATTTTTCTGCCTCTAAGAATGTGGGGATGATTGGGATGGTGGAAGAGAGACAGAGACAGGAGCCAGAAAAAGTTAGAAGGTTGTTAAGGAATAGAGAAGATTGGGTGTGTGATATCATGGTAGGGGGAGACAATTGTTTTCAAGTATTTGAAGAACTGTTATGAGAAAGATTAGGTGTGTTTTGCCTGACCTCAGAGAGGAAAACTAGGAATAATGCATGGAAATTGCAAAAAAAATTCCACTTGATAGAAAGAAAACATTCCTAATAATTAGTGCATTTACAAGAAACACAGGCTGACATTACACCATGCCTAGAAGGAATTTCATGAGAGTTCCAGGAAGGGGGAAAAAGCACCAAAGGAAAAGGACTTCCACAGGCTGTGCTACCCCTTTGCAACAAGTAGTCACTTCCCCCGCATGATCTCTGTACTTGTGGGAGAGTATGTCACTGCTGTTTTTTTCTTTGGAGTGGTGAGTTATTTTATACAAACTGTACTAAAACCTTAGTAAACACCCCTTTCCAGTAACCCATTAAGTCTGTCTGATATCAACTCAAAATTACTAGAAGAATCACTTTGGTGGAAGTTTATAGGTATTTAAGTTTATAAATATTAGAGAACCATCCCCAAACACCTCAGGGCTACCCCTAGAGCCTTGCAGGGAAAGATAGTTGTTGTCTTCTAGGGACCCACCTTGGTGGTCTGAATGTGGGTTAGGAGAGTAACCCCAGCATATATCCTATACATGTGAAAAAGATGAGGATCTTTGTTGGTGATAAGGTAAGTACGAATCAGCACAGACCTCCTTTCACCTAGACATAATAACCCTTCTGGGAGATTCTTCTCTCCTACTGGCTATCAACCTCAACAGGGTCTAGTCTTGCTACTACCACTAACACCACTCCCAAAATGAGGAGGAAACTCCTTTTCTTCAACTCTCCAAGTATTCTCTTTTGGGTTTCAAGGTATCAGCCTACCTCTTCTGGAGTGGTAGCTATATTTAAGTATTTGAAAGGCTAGAAAGAGGAATGAAATGTTTTCCTTAGCTTAGAGAGTAGATGGCAAAAAGCCAAATTTGAACTTGATTTTAGAAAACAAATAAACTTCTTTATAAGTAAAGCTTTACAAATATGAAATGAGCTCTATCAGGAGATGGTGGATTCCCGCTCATTGTAGGTCTTCAAGCAACAGTTGGATAATGACTTCTCGCCTGTAAAATGACATTTCATCTCCCTCCCTGCTGTGTTTCTGACTCTGTATTTCAAAGCGATAACTTAGACCCCAGGGCCTTCTCACCCCTCAACATAATTCCCCTATGCCACTCTCCTTTTCCCATTGGTGAGTTCTTTCAAGAGAGGTCCCAATTTTGGGAAAGAGCTCAGGTTTGTCCTTCCTCATTCTCCTCTCTTGTGCCTCTGAGTCTCCAGGATCTGTCACCATTTCCTTGGGCTACTTTCCCCCTTTCTGCCTCACCCATGTTATTTCTTGTTTTTGTATCCCGAGCACTTAGCACAATGTTTGTCGCATATTAAATTTTTCAGAAATGTGTATTGCCTACATAACTATGTAGGAAGAACTTAGTATGTGATTTTCATAGCCACATCACATTTCCATGGATCATATAGGGAGAATTCTTATTTGGCTATAGGTTGCACTAAATAACTTCTGGAGTCAACTTCAATTCTGAGGTTCAGTGCTTCTAGAACTCTTATGGGGACTAGGCTTCTAGAAATTCTGTCTCTTTTATTCAGATTGTTCCTGACTTTTCTTGTTAATATAAAGAACATACTAAGTAGCCCTAAAATTGTTTGAAGTTCTTAACTTGACCCTAAAGTCTTAGACCTGACTCCATTCTCTCTAGAAAAATCTTCCTAGACTGAATAGTCCCATTTAATCCTGGATCCATGTTCCATCTAAAATATTGTCATTAAAAGATTGTGGGCCATGTGGTCCAGTGAGGTTTTTCCTTTTCAAAACCACATGCATTGTAGGAAAGGAACTTAAAAATATAGTCAGCTGGGATGGGCTTTAGAATGTAGAATGTCTCAGTTTCAAGGGACTAAAGAATAAGAGTCAAAACTGGAAGGTGTCATTGCCTGGAGCTCCCAAAACTCTTTCAAGGCTGATGAGACAGAGTTTCAGAGAGGTGCCCTTTCACATATACAGCTCTAGGTTATCACAAGGGAGCCTTAGCAATGCAGGGTCACCAAATACTGGAAGGATGATCTCATCCACTACCAACTATGTGTAGGTACAGAATATAACAAAGCAAAAAGCACACAAGCCCCATAAGAACACCTTCCCCCAACACACAAGACCATTATTCATTTAAACATGATCTGGAGGTTTCCAGTGGATTGTAAACTCACTATGAGTCAGCATAGAGCAGACAAAATAACCTTAAGAAAACTTAATCTATGTTAAAGGACACATAGCTTCCAGTAAGAGGGAGGTGATCATCCCATTGTCTTTGACCATAGTCAGACTTCATCTGAAATTCTGTGTTTAGTTCTGGGTACCACAACTTAGAAAGGACATGGATTATCTGGAGAGGAGGCAAGGGAGAGTAACCAAGATGAGGAAGGGCCTGTGTAGATCAGCCAAAGGAACTAGAGTTTCTTGGCCTAAAGGAGAGAAAACATGCAATATGGGCTAACTGTCTTCACATATTTAAAGGGATATTATGTGAGAGACAAAAGGGATTTGTTCTGCAAGGACTCAGAGCATAGAATGAGAGCATTGGATGGAACTTGAAAACAATCATATTTTGATTCAATAGAAAGGAAAGTAAGGGCAAACCAAGAGTGGAATAAACTCCCTCAGCAAGTGGAGAGGTTCCTTTCCATGGAGGTCTTCAAGGAATGGCCAGATGCCCAATTGCCAGGTATATTTTTGTGCCAGGATTTTTATGGGGTACAGTTTTGTCCTACATGTCCTATGAGGTCCCTTCCATTACTGTGAGATTTTATGATTACATGTGAAGAAAGGAAAGCCCAAATTTTCAAACATATGAGATCCTTGTCCTCTCTCTCTGCTGTTGTCTGCAAGAACAGTCCTGCCCTGCCCATGGTGATTCTTAGGCAAATTTCAGATGGGATTCATAAAATGTTCACTTCTACTTGTGGTTGTTCATGTTTCAAAGACTGTCTGAACTGGAAGGAATCTTAGAGATCATTAGATGCAAGTTTTTTGTCTTGCATGGAGGTGGTATGTGGAAATAGTGATTTGTCCAAGATCACAAAGGTAATAAGTGACAGAGAGAGGGACCGAACTCAGAAATTTTAAGTCAGAGTCTAGTCAGAGTCAGAGTTCTTTCCTTTTCTTGTACAAGGATAAGTGTATTTTCATGTCATGCTCTTCTCATTTCTTTTTCCCAGCAGAAAAGTCAGCCCCATGGTACCAGGAAACCAAACACAATTCACTGAATTTATCCTCCTAGGATTTTCTGAAAAACCAGAGCAGCAAGGCCTCCTCTTTGGGCTGTTTTTGGGCATGTATTTGTTCACAGTGGTGGGAAACCAACTCATAATGCTGGCCATTGGCTCTGACTCTCACCTCCACACCCCCATGTACTTCTTCCTTTCCAACTTGTCCTTTGTGGATATCTGTGTGCTGTCTACCACAGTCCCCAAGATGCTGGTGAGCATCTTGACACAAAACAAGGTCGTCTCCTATGCTGCTTGTCTTGCCCAGATGTACTTCTTTATTGTTTTTGGTGGTTTCGACAATTTCCTCCTCACTACAATGGCCTATGACCGTTTTGTGGCTATCTGTCATCCTCCACACTATGCAGCCAAAATGAGCCCCGATGTCTGTAGCCTACTGGTTCTGCTCTCCTGGATAATAAGCCTTCTAGATTCCCTCCTTCAATGTGTGATGGTAACACAGATCTCCCTCTGCACAGACCATGAAATTCAGCACTTCTTTTGTGATCTTGCTGAGGTTCTGAAACTCTCTTGTTCTGATACTTTCACCAATTATGCCTTAATATATTTTGCTGCTGACGGTTAGGGGAAGAGAGACAGAGATAGGAGCCAAAAAAGGTTAGAAGGGTTTTAAGGAATAGATAAGATTGTATATGTGATATTATGATGGGAGAGAGAAACACTTTCAAGTTTTTGAAGGAGAAAGGTAAGGTGTGCTATGCTTAACCTCAGAGATCAGAACTAGAAATAATGCATGGAGCTTCAAAAAAAAATTTGACTTGATAGAAGGAAAAATTTCCATATAATTACAGCATTGGGACTCTACAAGAAGCACAGGCAGACATTACACCATACCTAGAGGGAATGTCATGGGGTTCCAGGAAGGGGAGAAGTCGACCATTAGAAAAAGGATTTCCACAGGCTGTGCTATCCCTTTGTAAAAAGTACTCCCTAAATTTGATCCCACTCTCCCCTGCTTGATCTCTGTACTTCTGGGAGAATATATCACTGTTGTTTTTTTCTTTGGAGGGGTGGGTTATTTTATACAAACTTTTCATATTATTCAACCTTAGTAAACACCCCTTTCTAGAAACCTATTAATGTCTCTAATTGATATCAACTTAAAATTAATAGCGAAATCATAAGTTTATAAGTGTTTAAGTTTATAAGTATCAGAAAACCACCCCAAATACCTCAGGGCTAGCCCTAGAACCTTAAGGGGAAAGATAGTTGTTGGTCTGAGTGTGGGTTAAGAGAGTAACCCCACAGTCTATCCTACACATGTGAAAAAGACTTGAGGATCTTAGTGGAGGATAAGCTAAATATGAATCAGCACAAACCTCCTTTGGCCTGGACACAATAACCTACTGGAGGATATTTCTCTCTTACGGGCCATCAACCCCAAGAGGCTCTAGTCTTGCTACTACTACCAACACTACCCCCAAAATGAGGAAGAATTTCTTTTTCTTAATCTCTCCAAGTTTTCTCTCTTTTGGGTTTCAATGTATCTGATGACAATAGTTATGTGCTCTACTTTTACTCTTCTGAAGTTACAGCTATATTCAGTATTTGAAGGGCTAGCAACAGGAATGAAATATTTTCCTTACCCTAGAGAGAACATGGCAAAAAGCCAAATATAGAATTGGTCTCAGAAATTAAACAAACCAGCAAACAAACTCTTTAACAAGAAAGATTTGAAAATGTGAAATGGGCTCTATCAGGTGGTGGTAGGATCCTATTCATGGGAGGTCTTTAAAAAATAGCTAGATAATGACTTTCCTCCTGTAAAATGACCTTTCATCTCCATTCCTGTTGGGGATTTCAAATTCTTGACTCTGTGGCCTAGGCCTTCTCACCCTTCAACTTCTTTCCCCCATGTTACCTTCCTTTTCCCATTGGTGAGTTCCTTCAAGGAATTCCTCATTTTGGGAAAGAGCTCAGGTTTGTCCCCCTTTTTTGAAAATGATCAAGAGGTTTCCATTGGATTGCAAACTCACTATGAGTCAACATTAATATGACAGACAAAATGACCTAATGAAACAACCTACATTAAAGGAGATATAGCTTCCAATAAGAAGGAGATGATCATCTCATTGTCTGTGCCCATAATCAGACCACATCTGAAATTTTGCCCTTAGTTCTGGGCACCACAACTTAGAAAGGACATTGATCATCTGGAAAGGTGCAAGGAAGAGTAGCCAGGATGATGAAGGACCTGTGTAGATCAGTTGAAGGAACTAGAGTTACTTGGCCTAAAGGAGAGAAAACATGCAATATGGGTTAACCGTCTTCTCAGATTTAAAGGGATATTTGTGGAAGAGAAAAGGGATTTGTACTGCAAGGACTCAGAGCATAGAATGAGAGCATTGGATGGAACTTGAAAACAGGCATATTTTGGCTCAATAGAAAGGAAAGTAAGACCAAACCCAGAGTGGGATAGGCTCCCTAAGGGAGCCAGGATGTTTCCTTTCCATGGAGGTCTTCAAGGAAAGGTTAGATGCCCACTTGCCAGGTATATCTTTGTGCCAGAATTTTTATAGAGTACAGATTTTTCTCATGTGTCCTATGAGGTCCCTTCCATTTCTATGTGATTTTATGATTTCTGTTGAAGAATGGATAGCCCAAACTTTCAGTCATATGTGATCACTGTCCTCCCTCTCTGCTGTTGTCTGCAGGAATGGTCCTGTTCCACCCATGGTGTCTCCTTCTTTATCCTGGGACTCAACGGTCATTGATGCTTAGAGCAAATTTAAGATGGGATACATAAAATTTTCATTTCTAAATGTGGTTGTTCATGTTTCAAGGACTGTCTGAACTTGAAGGAATCATAAAGGTCATTAGATCCCAGTCCTTCATCTTGCATTGAGGAGGAATGTGGAAATAGTGTCCAACACCACAATGATAATTAGTGGCAGAGACTGGGACAGAAGTGAGAAATTCTAAGTCAGAGGCTGGACATAGTCAGAGTTTTTTCTATCTCATATGCAAGACTAGCAGTATTTTCATGTCATACTCTTCTCATTTCTCTTTCCCAGCAGAAAGTCAGCCCCATGGTACCAGGAAACCAAACACAATTCACTGAATTTATCCTCCTGCGATTTTCTGAGAAACCAAATGAGGAGGGGCCCCTCTTTGGACTATTCTTGGGGATGTATTTGATCACAGTGCTTGGAAACCTGCTCATAATGTTGGTCATTGGCTCTGACTCTCACCTCCACACCCCCATGTACTTCTTCCTTTCCAACTTGTCCTTTGTGGACATCTGTATGGTGTCCACCACAGTCCCCAAGATGCTACTGAGCATCTTGACACAAAACAAGGCCATATCCTATGCTGGTTGTCTTGCCCAGATATACTTCTTTTTGCTTTTTGTTTGTTTGGACAATATGCTTCTCACTGCAATGGCCTATGACCGTTTTGTGGCTATCTGTCACCCTCTACGCTATGCAGCCATCATGAGCCCTCAGCTCTGTAGCCTGCTGGTTATGTTCTCCTGGATTATAAGCTTTCTAAACTCCCTCATTCACTGTCTGAATGTAACACGGCTCTCCTTCTGTACAGACCATGAAATTCAGCACTTCTTTTGTGATCTTGCTGAGGTTCTGAAACTCTCTTGTTCTGACATTCTCTTCAATTATATCTTCATATATTTTGTTGCTGGACTGCTGGGTATTCTCCCTCTCACTGGGATCATTTTCTCTTACAGTCAGATCTGTTCTTCCATCTTGAAAATCCCATCTGCTCAGGGTAAGTATAAAGCCTTTTCCACCTGTGGATCTCACCTCTCTGTTGTTTCCTTATTCTATGGCACAGAATTTGGAGTGTATTTGAGCTCCTCTGCTACCCACTCTTCCTGGAAGAGCACAGTTGCTTCAGCAATGTATGCTGTGGTCACTCCCATGTTGAACCCCTTCATCTATACACTGAGGAATAAAGATATAAAAGATGCCCTTAGGAGGCTTATTAGCAAAATAGCCTCCTCTAAGTGATGAGGCTGGCTCCTAGTACTTAGAATAGGACACAAGTACTTCTGGAGAAAATACTGGAAGGCAGAAATCTTGGATTCCTCAATTCTCTCCACCACTCCAGTCTATCCTTCATTTAGGCACAAAAGTGATTTTCCTAAAGTACAGCTTTGACCCTGTCACCCCTCCTAAGCAATGAATGCCAGGGATTCCCTATTGCCTCCAGGATCAAATGCAAAATCCTCTGTTTGACTTTCAAATCCCTCCATAATTTAGCCCCTTTTTATCTTTCCAATCTTTTAATACTTTATTCCAGACCACATACTGTGAGCTCCACTGAGCCTCCTTGCTGTTCTATGAACAAGAACTTCCATTTCTTGGCTCTGGGTATTTTCTTGTGCTGTCCTCCATGTCTGGAATGCTCTCTCTACTCAACTCCAGCTAGTGGGTTCTTTTGTTTCATTGAAGTAACAATTTTTTTAAATCCCATTTTTACTGGAAGCCTTTTCCAACCCCTCTTAATTCCACTCCCTTCCCTCTGTCAATGATTTCCTGGTAATCCAGTATGTTTCTTCTATGTATACATTTGTTTGCGTATTGTCTCTCACATTAAATCGGGAGATCCTTGAGATCAGGGACAATTTTTTGCCTCATTGTATCCCCAAAGCTTAGCAGGATATCTGGCATGTATTAGGTGCTTAATAAATGTTGATTGATGAATCGCAAGGTTCCTGTCTTACTGACTCACTCACCTATTGACTATAAATGACCTTCATCTTAATTCTTCATGGTCGCTATTCATGGTATTTATACCATAACTACATCTGACTGAACACCTCCTGTTTCCTCATGCCATTTTCCAGCTCTAAAAAGTGCTAGAAATGGAGTGAAAAAGACAGGATTTCAGCATAGCTATGTGCCCATGGCCAAGTCACTTAATATCTTTATCCTTCAATTTCATCATTTCTGTAATGGAATTGGAAGACTTGCACTGACTATGTGAAACTTTTTTTCTCTGTACATCAGATCAAATATTGTATGTGAAAGTGTTTTGTAAACCACGAAATACTATATATCTGCAGGAAAGAAAAAAAAAGAGAAAATCAATATGGGATTTCATCCCTGGGAGTCTAGGTCCTAGTTCCTCCATGTCTTTGTATGTGGCCATTATGAGTCGCTGTGGTTAAAAATAAATTCATCACATCATGGCCAACCCACTCCTGATGAGCCTCTTTGTGCATTGCCTGATGCCATAGATGAAGTCTTTCTAGTGTAGTTGTACCTGGAAGAACTGGAGCTCTGATAATATAGCCTCTGAGAAACTGTGATCAACTCCATTTGACAATGAGATATTGAATGGGTACATCTATTCAAAATCCAATTGCTTTTGTGATCATTTTTGTCATCATTGCCCCCAAACACAGATGTGGGATTTCACTACTTTGCTTAAGATGCATCATGGGCTCCCTATTACAGCTATGATAAAATTTCTTCTCCTGTGACATTTAAAACCCTTTATAATCCAAGTCCAACATATATGTTCCTGGTCTGATTTCACATAACTGCCTCAACATACTCTACATTCCAGGTGAACTCACCTACCTGTAATGATGTTCCATCTCTCCCCTCACAGCCTTGACAAAGGCAGTTTCCCATGCATGGAACAAAGGGGAGCCCATACTCATCTCTATATCTTCAATTCTCAGTCCCTTTTATAGCTGAATTCAAGTTCTAACTCCAAAAAGAATTCCTGATTTCTCCAATTGTTAGCATTATCCCTCATTCTTATCATATTATTCTCACTGCATTAATACTTGCTTATCTATGTGTATCTTGAATTTCTCTGGGCCCATGGAATAGAAGTTTTTATAAGGCAGAGACTGTCTCATATTTGTTTTTTAATCTAAAGCACCTAACTCAATAACTATGACAATGTAGGCATTTAATGAACGTTTGAAATTAATTGACTCATCTTTGCCTCTCTTTCTTTCTCTATTATGAATTCCAAACTCACAGTAGGGATCCAGGAGGTCCTCTACTCAAGCTTCTTAAATAATTAAATGATCCTCTCTAGATCTAAAATGTCCCTGAAAAAAAAGTGATCATCCATCTTTTGTTTGAACTCTTTCAGTTAAAGGGAACTTCTTACCCAATAATTGGCCATTCTCACTATTTGACTGACTGCTTTAGTTGTGAGAAAATCTTCATTAGACTGAGTAAAAATCTACCTCCCTGTAACTGCTACTTATTATTACTAATATTACCCTCAGAGGCTATATAGGAAAAGAAAAAAGAAGGGAGAGAAGATGGCTACATGTCTATCCACAAAGTTATATATGAAAGAAAATTGCCACAAAATAGGAAAAATAGCAATTAAAACATTCAGAATTTCAGTCTCATTCAAGAAAGAATAAAATTAGTTTCCTCAGATGTCAATTCAAAAATGCAAAAGTATGGCTGATATAGGTGATAAATGGAGATATTAATGAAAAGAGGCAAATTTGATCTCAAAGAGACTTGAGAGGGTAAAACCTATGACTAAAATATGGCTCTGAAAAAGATGGCCTATTTAAAAGAAGCAGCATATGTAAAATATGAGGTGGGGTCTCACTGTGTATTAAGATATACTCTAGTAAAGAAATCCAGGCACCAGAATCAAGAAGCAAAGTAGAATGCATTGAAAGAAACATCACGCTGATCCTTCCATTTGTGCTCAAATAGAGAAAGCTTAACCTTTCTTCCATATCACAGCCATTCAAATACTTTAAAATGGCCATTATGTCTCAATTTAGTCTTCCCTTTAACAGGCAAAAAATTCCCAGTTTCATCCGTCAATCCCCATATGACATGGATTCAAGGCCTTTCACCACCTTGCTTGCTCTTCTCTGCATGCTCTCCAACTTGTCAGTGTTCTTCTGGAACCATGCTGTCCTGAATGAAACACCATGGTCATGATGAAGTCAGATGAGGACAGAGTACAGAGAGATGGCCATATCCTTAATCTTGCAATTTATGCTTCTTTTAATGTGGTGCAAGATTGCATTGGCCTTGGCAGTTGCCACATCATACTGCTCAATTCGTTTTGAGTTTGTCGTACACCAAGACCCTAAGGTCTTTTTCTCAGACCATCCACTATCTATTTATGATTCTCCTATCTTGTACTTGGAAATTGAAATGTTGTATCCAAATATGTCTTTACATTTATTCCTACTGAATTTCATCTTAGAAGATTCAGCTCAATGGTTTAAACTGTCTAAATCTTTTTGAATTTGTCTGTTTTCATCCAGTGCGTTAGTTATTCTTGGCAGCTTTGTGTGTCATATGCAGATTTGATCACCCCTTTCGAAATCATTGATAAAAAAGTTAAATGGCACAAGGCCAGCAGAGATGCCTGGACAATCTATTGGAGACTTCCTGCCATTCACTGAACTATTAACAACAAGATGTTGCAGTGGATAGAGAATGGGACTTAGAGTCAGTTCAATCATACCTCAGACCCTTACTACCTGTGTGTTCTTAGTCAAGCAACATAACCCCTTGTGACTCAGTTTCTTCATCTTAAAATGAGAATTAAAAGTAGCACCTACCTCACAGAAATTTTTGAGGATTAAATGAATTAATATACAAACAAAACAAATTAATATTAATTAATGTATATATAAACTACTTGGCAAAATACAAAACTCTATATATATGCCAACTATCACAATGACTACTTATGGAATCTGAACATCATGAAGTTCCTAATCCATGCATTTGCCACTAAGTCTGCATTTCACCATCTTTTCTGCAAAAATAGTATTAGATATTATATCAAATATTCCTTCCTACAACATATAAAAAAACCTGTATTATATCCACGGCTTTTTAAATTCTTATTTGCACATTAGTATAAATTCCCAACATGTCTAGACTATATTTTTATTTAAAATTTCTACATTTCCATGTTGTCAAATACAGGGCTCTGCCCTTAACAGTTTTACATTAAATGCTTGTTGAAATGCATTGAATCCCCTGTTTCTGAATGAGAACTTGGGTTCAGTGAAGAGCATGCTGAACCTAGAGTCAGGAAGTTCTGAGTTTAAATCTGGTCTGAAACAAGGATGACTCTGGGCAATACATTTAGCCTCTCTGCCTCAATTTCTCCATCTCTAAAATGGGAATAACAATTGCAGTTCCCTCTCAGGATTCTTGCAAGGATCAAATGAAATACCATTTATAAAGTATTTTCCTGACCCTGAAGTGCTATAAAATACTAGCTATTATTAATATTAAGTATTCTATAAGTTAGTCTCAGAGATTAAGGCTGAAAGCAGTTAAGTGATTACCCAGAGGCACATAACTAGTAAGGGTCTTGAGTAGGATAGGTCTTCCTGACTCCAAGTCTAGAGTTCTACCCTCTATGCCTCCAAGCTTCCTGAGTAAATGAATCAAAATGGATAAGGGATAATAAAAAAACTGGATCACCCACTCCACTCAAACTATGGGTATGAAACACTTCTTACAGAAACCTTCTCCCTCCATTGATAATTATGAGCATAGAAATGATAACACTTGGGGCAACGAGGTGGCGCAGTGGATAGAACACCAGCCCTGAAGTCAGGAGTACTTGAGTTCAAATCCAACCTCAGACCAAACACTTGACACTTAGTAGCTGGGTAACCCTGGGCAAGTCATTTAACCCCAATTGCCTAAAAATAAATAAATGAATGAATGAATAAATAAAATGATAACACATGAGGATCAAAGATAGAAGACTGAAATTTTCTCTGATCTTCACAAACTATTAGACCTCTCCAAAATTGAAATTATACACCAAAGATAAACCAACTTTGGCTATTTCCACAGTCTAGGGCACCAGGAACTCAAAAGAATGTAAAAAAACCAAAACAACAAAACAGTGAACTAAGGCCCAACTCAAGTTCATTCAGTGCCCCATTCTCTACCATGCTACCACCAGCTAGATTAAGGTCCTATGGACTTGCAACAAAACTCAATCTCCCACCTAATCCCTTCTACTTTCC